GTGAAAGTTTCTTATGTCGGTATCAACAGTTAAAAAAGCCATTGAAGAATTTCAACGTCGACATCTCTTGTACAAACAATGCATGCTCGGGAGACTTGCTGAAGGCCTTCAAAACGTGCTTGGTTTAGTCGAGGCTACCCGGGTTATGCGTGACATTGAGTACAGTGACATGAACCTGAATGCTACTGTCTTTCTTCCAAAACACATAAGGTCGGCATATTTGAGAAAGCACTTTCCTTACATGGAAACAGTGGGTATGTACATGGGACGTAGCCGTGGTGAAAAGGATCGGTGTGCTCCGCATGTCCCCGTTAAGAGGACACTAACTCCCTAGAAAACAAGTCAGTGGGCCAGGTATTTACCGAGCCTCGGAACGAGTCCCACTTACCCAGTCTTTCGGAGGAATTTTGTGATTGTGTCTGTCAGTAAGGCCAGTCAGTAACTGACATGAATCAAGATGCACCACCCATCATGGTGAGCATTCACTGATCACTTTTCAAACTCAGAGTCATCAATATTGCCTATAATCTTGTGATGATTTTGAGCTACAGCAATTGTTCTGCAGTTTAGTACATTTTATACCTACCTTCACGCCCTCTGTTTTATCCTTTTTTTTTTTCTAGGGGAAAGCATCTACTCAGTCACCATGTACTCGATCTCCTTTGATGAAATAACCGTGATGGACGAAATTCCCATGTTCGACCACGCACTGGCTGCACTATTCAGCGCCTACTACGTTTTCAACATGCGTGCACAAAAGAGATTTGCACCAGCTTAAAGTTCGTTCAAAGGTATGAACTCATTTGTGCTTCTTGGCATAATTTTTTTTCCCTTTATATACTTCATCTGATCTAACATACATTTCAGCAATGGCTCCAGACGTGAGCTCCTTCTTTTAGAATGTATATTGGTTGCATGAAAACTTGTGCAGCGAGAGTTCTTATCAATGATGAGGCATACTATGGTGAGATAGTGAAGTAGAATAAAAAGCAAGTTTGATTATTTTATTTCGTGATCTCTGTCCTTCGCTTACTCAAGTATATTTAATAGTGTGCAAATACAGGCTACCAAACGATCTTTTTAATCTGTGGTACTTTTCGTTTAAAATAAAAAAAAATCTCTCCATAGCGCTGTCTCCGTTATAACTTAGGATGCGCTATATACTTTAAGAAATCACTGTACCTGCCTCACGTGCACCGGCGACTAGCCTTCGTTCAAAAAGACATAAAATGCTAATTCAATATAACGAGGCTTTTATTTCCACTTTTAATTTTTACAAAACAAAAAGACAAATCAGTTCCAAGGGCTGCTGTTGCAGCTTTAGATCCAGTAGATACATTTTTTCTGAACTTTATCATTTTCAATATCCTGAAGATGTGGAGGTCTTGTTAAAAAAGGTTCGATTGAATATTAATTTTACACAATAACAGCAGTGTGTCCATTCTGAAATGGGCAAGTTGCTTAATATAAAGACAACTAGTTTCAGAGGAATTTATTAGTGCAGAACAAGAAAAAAAAAAAGCGATCTATAGTACCGTTCTAAATCCGGTTCCCTATGTAGCAACCTTCGTTAACTGTAAAATGTTATAATGTATTACGTGTTGCTTTATAAAAGACTATAGACCTTTTCTGTGTACTCTCGTCCTCAGCCACCTAATTGGCGTATCCGGTATGGGCGAAGAAAAAATAATCCGACGTTGCAACGTGCAAATAGTAAAAAAATAAAGGGGAGGCAAAACGAGAAAGTGTGACAGTTACGCTTATATCCTTAATGCCTTCCATTGGCGTGGCAAAGGCAAAACAATGTTTTCGCCCATACTGGAAGTGACGTCAATTCAAGATGGCGGCGCACTTGCAAAAAAGGTCTATATAGTTGAGAAACGGCAGATATTCCCTTTCGTTCTTTGTTTGCATTTTACAACATCAAAATATGTAATTCGGTGAAAGGCTGTTCGGTCCTTAACCTGGTGTGAGATCGGTAAAAAAGTGTCCATGTGAATTGGGAAGTTCACATGGGGGAGTTTCATTAACCTACAAGGTTGAGTGCCAGGCTACTTAGACATCATCAAAAGATCAGTGCTTCAAAAGCTTCAGTCACTGGAGAGTTTAGGTATTTATTGTCTAATTGTTTTTTAACTGGCGTAGTATGAACTGCGGTAGTAAGAAACTACTACGTATATCTGTTCTTACAGATGTTGGAACCAACCCTGATCGAGGAACCCGAATAAGAAACAGGAAAACATACGCAAACGAAGAAGTTCTTCGGTGAATTGCCGACATGTCGGAATATAAATGGGAATGCAAATAAATATAACATATTTTTTACTTTCCTTTGACAGCACGGGTCACGAAGGTTAATGCATCGGATGCAGCAAGAACAGCCGACCTTGCCGCAGACAAAATTGTATGTGCATTACTCTTTGATCACTTTAGATGTGCGTGATTAGTCAGTTGAACAGTGCAACACAGCAACCCCCAAATACTCTGCCGAGCTTTGTTTTTTACGCTGTATGTTTTACGCTGTTCAAACGACTATAATGGTGTGGTCCAGTACCAAAGTTTTCAACGTTTTACGGTCGAATAAAGATCTACTAAAGAAAATTAAACGGTGATCGTAGAAATTTACGGCCACCGTTTAATTTTATCGTAAACCAAATTTACAGTGCACCGTTATTTTTACTGTACAATTTTGGCAGCATCAGTTGCCTGGTATTTGACCGTACATTTTACGGTCCATTTTTTACAGTGTAACTGTGGCTATACTGTAATACTTTGTACGCATTTTTCTTTTTTTTTTTTTAATTGTCTATTTGGCACATTTTGTCGTAAGGGTCGCAGGCACGAGCTGGGGTGAATATCACGCTGGGGAACTTGTGTTGAACACGTCTTCCTCCAGAAGAAACTTAATACCTTTATTAGTTACTTTTTGAAAAAAGAACGAAGATGCTTTACAGGTTTTTCTCTCAATAAGTTACTACGTAATAACTTCGTTATCAAAAATTGACTTGATACATGTAACGCATTGAATGAATAACACGTTACACACGAGTCTGGTTTGTATTGTGTGTTTTAGCGCCTGTAGCATTGGGAGGGGGACGGTGAAGCCCCATAACGTGTGCATATATTTTTGGGATATTGGAGACGCAGAACTTGTAGATGACGCAGGGAATACTACGAAACGAGATCAGATTTTTACATTAAAAAAAAAAGATGTTTAGCTTTTAGCTTTTAAGATGTGGCTCTCCTCACGGTTGAGGATTTGCTCAGCCTAGTTTGTGTTTCGCTGCGTACTGCGGCTTACAAAGCCCAGCGTTCAGCGACGAAAGGCAAAAAGAAATGAAGAGAGAGGGAAAATAATTATCTATAACAAGATAGAAAAGGCGAGGGAAATCACAAACAACTCACGCATTAAAAGCGTATCGCCACTTCGGTAAAAAAATTGTAGCAATCACGGAGGCACCTTCCAGTCTGCAGCAGCTATCGCGGATGATCTAACGGTTGTCCATGTCGTATAGCTTCCGCCACACAATATGCGTACGCCCAGAAACATCCTAATCAGTTATTCTCATCCCTCTGTTTATTATCATTAAGCTCTGCCTTGCTACAGATGAACTACTAGCCACAAGAATTACTGGAATAACCAGAATATATCGAGAAAAAAAAAGTCGCTCTTCTCGGCGCACCGCTCCAAAATTCATGCGCAGGGTATGCATAATATTTGGTATTCTAAATAGAATTGTAAATTGCGCGATAAGAGCGGCTGATTAAACGCCGTGCGAAAACTAAAGAGGAACGGTCAAAAATTTCGAGAATCGACCATTGTTCCCACCGTTTTCTTATTTGTTCCTGTCTTTTGACCGGTGTCTACGCTTTCTAGATCTTACTTAAAGGTGCAGTAAAGACGTTTCTGATATATTCTGTACTTGGTGATAACCTACCTTGCGTGCTCCAAGCATCTTATAAATCCAAAAGTTATGCTTGTGCAACGTCTATTTCCCTACTAAAAATGTGGTCGAAGTTCTAGCAACGTCCCTTTCTGAGCTAGAAAAGGACGTGGCTATAGAACTTCGATCAGATTTTTAGTAGGGAAATAGACGTGGCACAAGCATAATTTTTCGATTTCTGGGCGGCTAAGATCCCGTAGAATGAGTTATCTCCGAGAAAAGACGAACTCAGAAACGCCTTTAGTCCACCTTTAACTTACCCCAGCTCGCTTTCGCTTTGTTTTATGCTCACATGCTCATTTTCCGCTTACAAAAAGCACAAGAAAAGACGTGTCTATTAGACGAAATGTGTCACATTGATTCGAGGTCATCACGCCACCTAAGTCTCAAAGGTAACGGCGATGAAACATTAATGAAACGGAAAAGTTTACGAAATTTAGAGTCGACGTTATAATGAGCGAAATTTATATTCCTGCAAAGGTAAAAAAGAAAAAAAGTCGAGTTTCGCACTTTAGCAAAACATAGAAATATAAATTCAAGATATTATCACCGACACTCCACTGCGAAGGACAGCGAAATTGAAGAGCACATATTTGGAATCCCCTTGTTAACTTACAAATGCAGAAAAAAAAAAAAAGAAAGAAAAGAAGTTGACATTTATTCATCGGACACACCCCAGCGAAGGACAATTGAGGGATTAATGCCGACTTCATGGAAATCTTTTAAAGCGGAGCTAAAGTCTCGGTTACCACGGCGCCTTCCCTGCAATAAGGCTCCGCCAGATTACGGACACCCCGGCCGGGATTACAACCCGCCAACTGGAGATGCGGATGGATGGTAAAAACGAAGTGACTTCAGCGTTAATAACAATAAATATCATTATTAACTTCAGATTTAAATTAGTATACAGAACCGAATATAACGTGAACTAGGGGGGGAACATGTTTGGCATATAAGGACAAACGTGGGTTTTTGTTGGAGGTAAAACTTGAGGAATAGTCGAGTTTCCCGAATTGTTATATATGTTTTCAATGGATGAGTGTGAGCGGCACTTACTGCTTGGCGTCCAGCTCTTCTTCATTCCTGGCTGCTTCTTGCAGATGCTCACAGGAAACCTTGGCACATTCTTGGATCAGCTCATTCATCTTAACAACACAAAGCACATAGGGATATGTAAAGCTACATGTAGTGAAAAACTAGAATGCGATAATAATAATAATCAAAGACTCAATGACAATCACGGTGTAGGCAACACACCTTGCGCAATCTTCCGGTTGCAAAGGCAGGGCTGGCGGCCGGCCGAATTCTTCGCCATTGTTGAGCAGGAGCCTGAGTCATCGTATTATTTAGAAGGGGATCATTCAAGTCGAAGCGCTGCAAGACATGCGATTGGTGTACTCCTTGCACTGCTTTCACACAACGAAATAGACGACGGGATCTAAGAGCAAGTTCTTCACTGTACTTCGCAACCTTAGAGCGCGTCAAGGTGTTCGTCATCTTTCCTTTCGTATGTTATCCCCGAATAATCCAATCAACCGCGGAGTGCGCGCCGATGTCTTGTTGGTGCACTCCTGGCCTCTGGCTACGCACTTTGGCTTACGATGAAACGAAGCATAAGCAGAGGTAAACGCGCAAGCAGCCAGGCTCGACTGAACGCTTAGTCAGGAATTTCTTGTCAACAGAGATGATTCTATACATCGTCTCACCCTACGATGGACTAAAGGCAAAAGCTACGGACCGCGAGATCCAATCACGAGCGACTTAGAAATTGCGTATTGCGCTTTGATGCACGTATCAGTGCCCGCGTCTCGGATCACTGATGGGGATTGGCGGAGAGTGGTTCGAATCGAAATAGCACTGAGTGACTCAACAATTTTACATTGCCAAAAAGAACTGTTTGCAGTGTCGAAGCTATAGAAATGATGCAGCGTTTTTGGGTTCGGAGCATTATTCGTCCATCCCTAATAAGTGCTACGCATGTCGTAGTCTAGCGTGGAACGTGATTGGACCTGGCGGCCCGTGGCTTTGGCCTTTAGTCCATCCTAGGATGAGACAAACTATAAACGTTTTCACACACAAAAAAAGAAAACCCTAGGACAAGAACAATATATCTTGTGAGTTCATCCCAATTTCGCTTAAAATTTGTTTTACTTTTTTTTAAGTAACGAGCTTACATAAAAAATATATAAGTATTTTTTAAAGTTTTCTTTTTTCTGTGAAGAGTACAAGGTAATTACCCAAAGCAATGATTCGTAGGAACATGATTGCTCCGTCAGAGACAGCGCCTGCACTAGTATGCCCAAATCGTCGACCATCGATCGTAGCTACTGTTTGTTAATGCCATGAAGGATTACCTGCTTTACTACCATGAACTGAGTTTACTTTTCAAAGTAACGGGCTGACTTTTGTAAACACTATACAAGGCCTACTATAACGTTCCAACAACTATTTAAATTTTATAAGTGAATTTGCTTGATAAAAATGTTTTTGGATCTGTGAACTGCATCTGCCTTAATACACAATTTGAAACAAAGCGCCAGCTTTACATAAGACTACGGAACATGTGCCACGTACTCTTCTATCTGGAAGCAATGGGAAATCTTTCACAAGAACAAGCTTCACAATATCTGGTTCAGCAACGATGAGCGATGGCTGTGGTCCTTCAAACGCACTGGAATGAAATGTTTCAGCAATACTTAGTATGACTTTTGTTGAACATAGGAGCACTATTTGTGACTCAAAGTTTATTTACCCGAACAGTTTCCCGTACTTCTGGGTCATCTCCAAATCGATCTCGTGGCGTGACTGTAAAATACATGGCATTGTTAGAACGGCGTACTGACTGAAATTTACCACCCCTACAGCACTTCACTTATTTTTACTGAATGTTAATAAAACTTTACAATTCTGTCGAAGAACGAACAAATATTCGGTTTTCGAATTCATTATCAATTTTAGTAGGCGTGATCGCGAACCTACACTTCAGTGTGTGCATATCAAAGGGCAGGGCATGTGCAATAAATACAGCTTTTACGTACAAGTGACGTCAGTTCATCAGTGTTGCTTATATAAGAAAAAATTGTATCAAAGCGTGAAACAGATGCGAGGAACAGTAATCTTTACAAGCAAAAGGAGAATCTGGCCACGTGTCACGTCATTTGCACAATGCAGGATGAATATTCGTTGAGTCCTTTGTACTAAATTGACCTTTGTTGTCATGGTACTGATCAGTATGACACGAGGGTGTCCGTTTCAAAGCTATCAATTATAAGAAAAGGAATTATTCATAAGCAATGTTTCGAGGATTTTTATCTTTGCTTCACGCGGTAATATTCGAGTGCATATCAAAGTTCCGTCTTATGAGCTTTTTCAGTATCCGGCAGGTTTGCGTTGAATATAGTCTTTAGAAAACCGTATTAAAGGGAAGCTACGGAGCTTTTTGAAAAAAATATGAGTGAGAAGTGAATTCTAGTGTATTTTTACCCCGTGAACCCGAATACCCAAACCATTTGCGGCGCAAATATTGTTAAACGCAAAAAAAAAAAAAAAAAAAAAAAAAAAAAAACCACGAAAGACAGTCGCTGTCCGTGACGTCATCGACGAATCCTTTGGCTGCCCGAGGCTAGGGAGGCGGGGCTTCAGTCCTATTTTGAAATTGCTCGTATGGCTCTCCGGCGCGTCGCATTGAAATATAATTGGGGTATCTGTTATTCTAAAGGCCAAATGAACGTAATTCAAGAGTTTTTTCTGAAATGTAGAAGTGCCCCATCTTGCCTTTAACTGCCGCGTGAATCAGTTAGCAAACACTTATACAAGTGCTAACCATATCGAGTGGATTTCATCATTTGATGGTGACAAATCATTCGAAGTGGAGCGTATAGCTTTCCGACGTATCTTCTAATACTGGGATGTTGAATGCGGCAGCATCCAAGGATGGTATTTTTTCTTATGTCCATTTTGCCCTTAATTTTTGATGAAGCGACTCGATTGCAAGGACAGTACCGATATAGTTTCTGTAGTTCCTGGCAACTATTCGACCTTATGACCTTGGTTCATAGCTCAGACCAGACAATCAGATAAATCAGAATTACTAATTGTGCTTACATCAAGTGAAAGCGAGATGTGTGTGCGTCGGCCAAAAGCAAAACAGTGACTGGTATTATGCATAAAAGCAGATGCTCAAGCTTTATACACACCTTGGAGAGAAACTTCAGTAATGGTACGAAAGACAGGGAAAACTTTTGGTGTACAATGTTTTGATCTTTCCAGTAATTCTTGTTTCGAGACAAATACCTGTCAAAAATAAATAAATAATGTAAGTGCAAAACACATCTTAACCCTCCGTTGTGGTGTTTTTAAGATATCGTTCTGAAAGTTGTCATTGACTACTTTTAGTGTAGACTAGTGGTACAAAACTTGAATTCGTCACTTCTGGAAAATGATATCAGCTCACTACATAGAACTTAGACGCTCTTACAAATATCAGCTCATAGGTGTTTGTTATATTGGGCAAGAAAAAGTCAGAGTGAACAAATTCTAATTCTAATGTGTCAGCTGATGCGAATAATTGAAGAGAAGATTAATTGATTTTAGGTAATCAATTCCATAATGATCACTTTGCACTTTCTACCTAACATCCATCACGGTCAATAACATTACCCCGAAGGAATTATATTTTTATTTCAAGTGATTTTTAATTATATTAGCCGGAGGTGAGACATCCCGGTATATTGTTATTGAATGTGTACTTAATTCAGCCCTCTGCGATACACCAAGCTGAATTAAACAAGTCACTTTGGTTAACAAAATAACTCACTATCCTCAGGATACAATTATTCAGGTTCCAAAGTCTTGCCTAAGAACACGAAGTTGCTCCTAGCTAAACAAATAAAAATTAAATCTGAAAACAAAGCTGCTCGCAGGTGTTTTTTGTAACAAATTTCTTGGCTGAGACAACATGGGTGCTGATCGTTTTTTTTACATATCGTTTGCCTTTCTGCCTATCCAGAGAGCGAATATGGAAAAGCGAGGACGACCGGTTAACGGACACGCAGCTCCATCTGGTGAATACTCCAAGAAACGGAGCTAAAAGCACGCATCCTGCTGTTTCGTGCACAATGCTAGTCAAGATGTCAACTCATAGATGTCGCATGTGATAACATTCGATGCTGTCATGAAAATAAAACGTTTAGACAACAACGTTGAGGCGTCTGCAGAAACTTTGGTTTCTAGTTTATAAAAACAAGACCACAAAGAAATTGAGAGGGCGGGAAAGGACGGAACGTATCGTCATGAGAATGGACGACAGAACGGTCAGACGTAGTCGCAGAACGGTGCACTTTTACAACACACACAAAAAAAAAACAAAAAAACTTACATGTACAACAGGGTGAAAGCCGACAAAACCACAATCATCCAGTTTGGCAGAATGTAGTACCCGAGCAGCTCCATGGCTTTCCACTACCCACAAGCAGCGAAAAGAAACACGCACACGCGTCGGAGTCCTGAGCGTTTTCTACTCAAGCGTACTGTTACCCAAGCAACGGAACGGTGCGAGAAAGAAGGGTTGGGGGAAGGAGGGGGGGGGGGAACTGATGCTTTCGTTGTTCATGTAGCGCCGCGCTGTTTTCTGCCTCGAATATCCGCTTGATCTGCGCACGCGTACGTCGAGCCATTTCCTTTTATAGAGTTTTGTTACTAGCGGCTCAAGGTTTGCGGCGCTCGGGGACGCGGCCGACGCGGCGTCGCGCTTCCTAATGACTTAGGCTTGACGATGAGGGCGACCCTAGTGACGCCTTCTTTCCGACAGAGTTCCTCCACGTGAGACACTGTTGAGTAACAATGCGCTCAAGCGATGCTCGCGCGCGCGGTAGAGATGTGGTTGTGTATCGGCGGGATCAAGTCGGTCAAGCACCGAAAGGGGTTCTTTTGAAAGTTTAACAACGTCTTGTGAGAAACTTTTAGAAGATTGAACGTTTTGGCAGGCATGCGTGAGTCGGTGTATTTATTTATTTTTATTTTTATCCTCCGGGTCGGAGGGCGTTACAAAGGGGAATATGTTTCACAAAAGAGAAAAGAAAGACGAAATCATACTTTCTTTGCATATGAAAACTTTTTTAATGTGCTACTCATTTTGATTTTTTTTTTTAAATTTTACATCTACGTCGTATTGATATTAAGTGTCTTAACTAAAAATTGAGAAAACACTCTGTAATCTGCACTAAAGCGTAACTGAAGCCATGCAAACTATTTTAAATCGGGGGAAATCGACCATCGTAACCCGGCCTAGTGGCAAAATTGAGAACTGCACCGATGGGGCAGTGCTCGGCTCACGCAGCCGAACGTTGCGTCAGTGTGAGGCCAGAGCTCATGTTCAATCAGTGAAGCCGAACGCGACGCCGGGCGCAGTACTCCTAAACTCTTCATCTTTCACGACTGATCGCGGTGCAATATTGACCACGGGTCTTGCCCAATCTTTGCGTTCCGCTCAATCGGGAAAGATTAATTAAATAATCCAGTGCACATGCCTTGTGTTCGTAAACACAGAATTCTTGGGAAAACAGGCTGGACGTAGTGCCCCCTATTGTTCGATCTCCTCGCCAATATATCGCTGAACGCCGGAAAGATCCAATAAAGCCTCAAACATTGTGTAATTTACCTTAACATGCAAACTAATTTCTAATTCAAACTAATTTCTAATTTCATGTCCATTATGCATTTCGCACACCAAGATGCAAACTATCCAATATCGTGCCTGAGAAAAACCCATTCTATCACACTTCTAACTTTGATGACAGTCTTTTATTTTGTTGGGGATAACGCAAACAAACAATCACGATAATCTCTTGTTACCATCTCCTTTGCGCTCTCAACTTCAATGCTTCACGTTGTGCCACGTATAAGAACTAAAGCTCCGGGCCAGATTACTTTACATAGGTCGTGAGGCCTTAGCTTAACCTATATACATATATGAGTCAACTATTCCTCACAGAGATGCGGCAGACCTTATGATCTGGCACATCTCCGCAAGTATAAAGTGACACTAGCAGATTTCCCGCTGTAAAACGAGCCGGAAAAATCGACGCCTCCGCATAGGAAGTTCAAACTTTCGCCGAATGTGTACTGAGCAGGTTAGTTTTATCATGGGAAATTTTAAGGCCTAGTTATTTTCCTGTAAAAAATAAGACCATCAAGCTTGCCAAGTCTTTGTTAGGCGCGTTCGTAGACGAACGAGTTAGCGACACCATTAACTTGTGGCGCCATCTCCCGATAGGCAGAGCAAGCAGACGACGCACTCTCTTTGTCTGATCAAAACGATTATCGCGAGATTGCGTCATAATTTAAAAGCGTCCCTAACTCGGTCGTCAGTGAACGCGCCCAGAAAGGACTTGGAAAGTTTGTTGGTCTAAGTTTTGACCGGAAGAGAAGTACGCCTTGAAATTTCATACAACGAAACTGACCCGGTCAGTGCACATTCAGTGAAAGTTTGGGCTTTTTGAGCAGGCATCGTTGATTTTTCCGACTCATTTTACAGTGGAAGATTCGCTTGTGACGCCGCATATATTGATTTTTTTTTTTACAAAATTTTTCATATTGCAGATTATGCCACTACCGTATTTGAATATTCTTTTTTATTTCTAATGTCTTGACCTGTGTAGCCATCGTTGGGCGTCAGAAACCGCTAAAAAAGCAATAGCAAATCTGCCAGATTCCGCTAAATTCTAAAACATAACTACTAACTTTCCCCAAAAAACGTACCTTCCAAAAAAAAACAAAAAAAAAAAAACAGGGTGAGTTTTTGTATGATATAAGCCTTTATCAGTTTTGAAAGCTCACCGAAACTGTGAGAGCTGGAATAACATGTAAACGAGTTCTCGAAAGAGGGTAACTAGAATAATAGAGGCTTCAGCGCTGCGGTTGTCATCAAGCTTATCACAAATGAGGCTAAAAGTTTTAATTATTAACAATGCTGAAAAAAAAAAAAAAGAACGCACAGGTCAGGGGAAGACACACCGAGCATGTCTTCGTCGCCTGTTTTCGTCGTCTTACACCAACTCCACAAGACCGCTGGCACTTGTTAAGGGACCAGGAAAGTGACTTGGTTGCACATGTATGCGTTTCAGATGTCCCCGATAGCACTTACAACCTCAGTAAAAAGTTCTTAATCAGAACAAATTTTGTTGTGTCGATTCAGCCCGCTTTTACGGCGAGGATAGCGTTTGTTGTCTAAGGCTTCAGCATTTTCCTCAGCCTAGATTTTACAATATTAAGCTGACTGAACGTCCTCTCAACTTCGGCATTTGAGCTGGGCAGTATTATGAACGGCATGGCAAATCCGGCCAACTCGGTGAACAGGTTTTGCCACTGGCAAAAGAGTGAACGTCACGCCAAAACGACTGCGTTGACGATATTTGCTCCCATTGAACACGGGTGATTTTGCTCCACTGGTCTTGAATGTTTTTTTTTATTTATTCAGGGGAATTGACACTGCTTGAGCAGAGGAATCATGGCTCCCTCAGCACGCACAAAGTGTTTTGGACCGTTAAAAGTGAAATCATCTGGAAACTTCGACGTCGTCAAAAAGTCGCTGTCTGATTTGATATACTAGCGTGCTAATAAATCTTATGCACTTTTCTCGCATCGCAACTTGATTAGCGAGAGAAAACTCATCGGTCTTCATGTTGTCAACGTATGTCCCAGACAGGTAGCCCAGCTATAGGGTGGAATTCAAGTGGTCGTCAAGTAGGGACGTCAGAACGTCCATCTGCTGTGTCGGAATTACCCACCTTTTGAACCAAGCTTGAGAGGGAAGTCGTGATGCCTTTTAGCAGCTTTGTTTGATCGACATCTTTCGTCTGTAATGCCACGAATGACTTGTCTTGCATAGAAATCGATCGCTGTTCTGAAGACTCACGGATTTGTTTATCCATTGAGCTTCAGGGGGGAAGTATGGCTCCCGGTCGCTTGTTGGGTAAGTCTCAATTTCTCTGTTTTTAGAGGACACGGGAATTGTGTTTTGAAGGAAAATTTTTGAATTGTTGCACTGCGTGAGGCATCCGCGAGAAATACGTCAAGTATGAAAATATAATGCTAAAATATTTACTAGCCTCAAGACTCAGTTTTTCCCCGTCAGGAAAAAAAAAAAAAATCCGCTAAATTTGGGGGTTTTTGTCTTTTCAGTTAAATTCGCTGAATTGGCATTACTAGTCTTGACGCACACTAAAATTTGATGGTTTATGTTATAAGTCCAAAAAACTATCTCTTGATGATCTACGGCTTGGGAGGCCAGGGCCGTGTTTTGTTGCCCACTTAATGTTGTTGTTTTTTTGTTATTTGCGTTGTATAAGCGACGTCCCCTTTAATCATTTATCAAGTTCCATCAACACACCTTTTTTGTTTTTTTCCTCCGTAGTGCTTCTCGACGAGCAGCTAGTAAAAAGCTAAAAAAGGTGTGTTGATGGTTTGAGGTTTGGTTTTGCTGTCCATCCGGACGTAACGCCAGGCACAGCAAATGTTTATGTTTCGTCGGACGTAACTTTAATTTTATTTATGTTACGTTGGACGTAACGCTATACAGTGCCATAAAAAAAAATTAGAATTTTCCTATAGAGAGATGACGACTTAAAACCATTTTTCAGTGTGTTAGAAGTGTTGTGTTATCAGAATGTTTTATTATATAGGAACAGGGGAATGAAAAAAGGTCTTTCTTAATTTGCCTTCGTCCTTTTATTAAAAAAAAAAAGAAAAAAAAAAAAAGAATCCTAGATTAAAAGAAAAAGAAGTTCAAAGCAACTTACTATCATTTTTAGAACTCTTACAAACATGCCATCAGGGAAAATTTGTAGAAAATGTCTATTCCCTTCAATATTTAAAAAAATTGAGCTGTTGTTTTTTAAAACTCTCTTCCAAATGACAAAAAAGATAACCTCAATATTTATATTAAAAAAAACATTATTACGTTTTCTCTTTTCATAAAATATAAAAAGATAACCTCAATAATTTTTCTATAAAATAATTTAAACGAAAACATCATTAGTTGCTTTTATATTGTGTTTTTAGAAAAAAAAAACCTATAAAAAACGTCAATACAATTCTATTTTATATATATATATATATATATATATATATATATATATATATATATATATATATATATATATTTATAAATAAGTTTACAAAAATTTATAATTTTTCTTTTGAAAATTTTTTTTTTTACAATAATCAAAACGAATTGCGTGTATAAATAACTTCAGTAGGATCCCGGAACGTCAATAAGTAAAAGAAGAAGAAAAAAAAATTGTTAGGACCCTGTTTTTGTAAGGGATACCACTAATAATTCGAACCATTGCTCGTCGTTCTGACTTTCCCGCTCGCTCTCTTTTCCTCCTCTCCCTCAGGAAGAGGAGCAGGCGAGGTGGACGTTGGGCGGTCCGCCGGAAGAAAATCTAGTCACAGAAAAAAAAAAAAAAAAAAAGTAAAACAAAGGAAACATTTTGTTCTATATAACCTTTATTTCGCACCTCCAAAAGGAACATCGATATACAGCTACTCTCATGGTCGGTTGAACTTCTCT